TTTGCTGCTCTGTTTTTTAGAGATTGCGAGAATATAGTGGAGGGCTGAGGATGTTTCTGGGATGCAGCCCGAACTCCACATGTTCCCAGCTTCCCTGAACAGCCCCCGCCCCAGCCAGACAGGATTGAGGAGCAGCTGGCACTTCCAGGGCTGTGCCCCAGGTGCCGGAGCGTCCATGGCCCGAGCAGAGAAGCGGAGGGAGTTCGCCTCGCTTTGGGTTTGGGGTCTTTGCAGTCTTCAGTGAGCGTCTTGGGCAACGCTTTGAGGTTTGAAGCTCTCGGAGTTGAGGGACATGGTTTCAGAGGTTTATGGTTTGCGGGGGGAGGCGTGTCGTCAAGTGCTTGGGGAAATAATTAAGTGCAGAATCAGAAGCGTTGGGCCGTTCAGGACTTCTGTTCTGGTCCTTGAAATTTTGCAGAAACCGTGCAGAAATGTTCGCATGTTTGGCCAACAGCGCTGTGGCGTTGTCCCGGATGTCGGTTCTGAGGTTGTGAGAAGACTTGCAGTTTAGGACGTAGTTGCGGGAGGTGCTTTTGGGGTTTTTGTTTATTGAATTGTTGAGGATGTTTTGCTTAGGTTGCTGGACGGTACTATGTTTGCTTAGCAAGCATTGTGAGCCTAGGCCATGGAAGACACGCTTCAATTCAACACTACACAGCGAACCAGAACCTAGAGGTCTAAACCGGAGGAAGGGTTAAGGTTTTGGGCTTAAGGCTTAGGGTGCAGCACTGGTCAGCTCAGCGCAATAATATGCAGACTTGGGACACCCGAAACGCTTGGGAAACCTGGTACACTTCGGATTGTTTTTGGTTCAATGCTTGGGAAATCGGGATCGTGTGGATCAGTTGGGATACTCTTGGACTTTTGGCAAGCTTTTGGCAAACTTTTGGGACGTCGGAACTCTTGGATCACTTGGAACAAAGGAAGGAACCACTTTGACTTTTGGCCACTTGCGACAGCCCTTTATCCTCCACACTTAATGGGGAATTTGATGCTGTTCCGAATGGAACCGAAGGGATCTACGGGAAATCCGTGATTTTTGTGGTCTAGCTCGGGAGTTGCTGAAGATTTCTAAGCAAATCAACCATTTCCTGTTCCTCGTCTTAATTACATTTCGTGTTTACTGATCCCTTTTTCTTCATCGCTGGATGACGTGATTTGTTGTTCTGGTTGCTCTGGTCGGCACGTCGGTCTTCTTCCGGTCTTTTGGGCGTTGCTGTTCTTTGCCCTCGGTTCTGGTTCTGTGGCGGATCAAGGAGTCGGTGGAGTCAGGGATCTCGTTCTGGACGCCGATGGGGAGGGTGATGACGATGATTGTTCCCGACTTTGCTCCCATGCTGGTGCACCATGTTCTGGGCGGAGCTCCAGTGATTAAATAAACGGCTGCTACCCGTTTTTTTTTCACGTAAACTTGATGATCCCCGTCCCTCTTCTTCTCTTCCTTGGAGATGGCTTTGGCGACATATCTCTCCCACCCATCTCCGCGCCGCATCGGGGTTTGCCTTGGTGCTGGTGTTCCTCCTCGTCGTGCTTTTCCCTTGGTGGCATTCGGTGCACGTGTCGGAAATGTGACTGTTCCCCAAATCAGAGCTCGGAGGAGTACGGTGCAAGACTAGTGGAAAGTGTGAAGAGCATGGGAAGGACTGATGGCCATGTGGGAAAGCTGCTATGCCTGCTGTGTTCGGGAAAACCCCTTCTTGCTGAAGCAAACCCTCCGTCGTCGAAACAAATGCGAAAAGGAAGAACCGAAATTAGCGTGCGTAAGGCCCGAGGCGGAGATTGGGCTTGATGGCGGCGGCGCTGACTCAAGCCAGGCAGGGTTCGGGGGCGGGTTTCTCCCCCCGACTTGAGCCAAAATCTCTGTCTCTCTCTCTCTCTCTCTCTCCGTCTCTCCGCGTCTGCCTTTGTTTGTCTGTGTGACTGCGACTGCGACTGTGTGTTGGGGGCGGGGGTGGGGGCAGCAGTTGGTGGGTGTGAGTAGGTGTGGGTGTGGGTGGTCGTGGGTCGGGGTGGGGATGTTTGGAGCGTTGCTTACAAGGAGTGGAACATAGCAAGCTTGGGGCGAAAAGCACTATTGGGCTCCATTCAACTGCAGCTAGAAGCTAGAAATGCTAGAACAAAGGCATTCATTTTGTGAGTCTACTTAAGTCCGTGATGTAGCAAAGCGTTCATGGAGGCCCGCCTTCGACACATCGATGCCCAGGCATTCAGAGCACCGCCTCGGATTGGACTGAAATCCCTAAGCACCAACAAGACCGGTTGATTTTTCTGTATGTGCTCCGATGTTGCTTACGAGCGGTCACCAGGTTTAGCATTCAAGGACGAGGGTATCGGGCGGCGTTGGGCCTTGGATGTCTCGATTGGTTTCGATTGGTTTCGGGATTCGATGGCTGAGGGGAAATCCCAGCGCTCGAAGATCGGTGGCGGATAACCCTAAAACCAACCCCCAACCACACCACAGGGGGGGGGGGGTATCATCTTAGTACCCCATCCGCGGGGAAACCCTAAACCCTAAACCCTAAACCCTAAAACCCTAAAACCCTAAAACCCTAAAACCCTAAAACCCTAAAACCCTAAAACCCTAAAACCCTGAACCCTAAACCCTAAACCCTAAACCCTAAACCCTAAACCCTAAAACCCTAAAACCAACCCCCAACCACACCCGGGGGGGGGGGATACCATGGGGGGGGGGGGGGGGGGGGGGTAGGGGGGGGGGGGGGGTGAGGGGGGGGGGGGGGGTGGGGGGCCCCGCCGGGGCTGAACCATATATATATATATATATATGTTTTTTGTAAAGGGGCTGCGCATGGGCGGGCAGCGCAGGCAGAAGCTGGAGGAGAGCTGTTCTGCAAACCGGGAAGGGGGGCGCGTGCGCGCATGCCCGCACGGCGTGCGTCCTGATGAGGTCAGCTGTAGGCTTTCATAGTCGGGAACGCCCGGGTCTGGCGACAGAGGGAAAGCTTATGCACGCGTGGGCCGCCGTGTCATCCAAGGCCGGAGCCGCTGATGCGCATGATGCGCGCCCGGCATCCCGGACTGGGGCCCCTGATGCTCCTGATGCGCGCTTAGGGCTCCCGGACTGAACCCGCTGATGCTCATGATGCGCTCCCTTTTGGGGACTTTTGGGGGGTGTCCGGGGCTATCCCATTTTGCGTAAAAAGACCGTTCACCGGCGGCACGGCGGGGTCGACGGCACTGGCGTCCGGCCTTATTGTGCTTCGCACAAAACTAGCTAGCTACGCACGGGAGTCGCCCGTGATGAACAGGTCCGCTTGCCATGACCACAAAACCATGGCGCTGCCCGACTGCCCGATTTTAAGGGGCTGCGCCCATGGGCGGGCAGCGCAGGCAGAAGCGCGGGGCGAGCAGTTTCTAAGCATTTTGAGGCCCCTAAACTCCCTTAAAATCTCTAAGCGTTTGAGGCTCCTCAACCCCCTTAAAGTTTCTAAGCATTTTCAGGCCCCTAAACTCCCTTCAAATCTCTAAGCGTTTGAGGCTCCTAGACTCCCTTAAAGTTTCCAAGCACTTTATAAGGCCCCTAAACTCCCTCTTTCCTAGCCCCGGGCTTAGACACGTCGCTTATGCCCGCCCTTTGGGGGGCATCATGCTCCTGATGCGCCCCCGGGGTCCCGCCCTGGGAGCCGCTGATGCTGCTGATGCGCGCCTGGGGGTCCCGGGCTGGACCCGCTGATGCTCATGATGCGCACCCTCTGGGGGCCTCCGTGGCGACGCAAAAAAACCACGAAAAAAAAACCGTTCACCGGGGGCACGCGGGGGTCGGCGGCACTGGCGTCCGGCCTAGTTCTGCTTCGCAGAAGGCCGAAGGCTAGGAAGGCTATTGCCGGGACGACCCGGCCTAAAAGGTCCGCCAATGCTCGGTCCTTGGGGACCTCGCGCTGCCCGATTTTAAGGGGCTGCGCCCATGGGCGGGCAGCGCAGGCAGAAGCGCGGGGCGAGCAGATCAGTCACAGGGTTGGGGTTTCTCTAAGCGTTTGAGGCTCCTAAACTCCCTTGAAGTTTCTAAGCATTTTGAGGCCCCCTAAACTCCCTTAAAATCTCTAAGCGTTCGAGGCTCCTGAACTCACGACCCGGCCTAAAAGGTTCGCGCCAGGCCGCAAGGGCCATGGCGCTGCCCGATTTAATGGCTGCCGCCAGTGCCGCCGACCCCAACAAAGACTTTGAGGTGGTGTGTACATGGGGGGTGAGGGTGGGGGGCAAGCTAAAGATTACAGGCTGTGAGCAGGCTAGGGCAGCATAGGTTTGAGATCGGCGGGCATGCAGGTCCATGGATGCATTGGAACCCTCAAACCACCCTCAATCACTTCATTTCAAGGTAAAGCAACAGGTTGGGAGAAGGTGGGGAAGGGAGTAGGGCGGCCCTTTCAACGAAGCACTAAGAGCATGTGCAGCCTCTCCAAACCTTGACCTTCGAGAGGGTTCAGCGACATGTGCGCAACTCAAACTGGGTGATCGATTCTGCTGTCGCCCCCCTCTCAGGTCCCAAATAGCTATTGCAACTGCCAAAGGTAGGGGATCAGAGAGCCTCCTTTCGTGCGCTTGCAGTCCGATTGCTTCGAAAAGGGTCCTTTAAGGTTCTTGTTGCCCAGGCGCAGCTCTAAAGGCGCGCAGATGAGCTCGGCGCGCCCTGAACTCTGATGGCTTGGCTTATTGAGGAGATTCAAGTTCAAGGGATCGAACTCGTACAGGGTTGCGGGAAGGGGTGGGGGCTTGTGCGGCTTTTGGACTTTGGGCTATTCGAACCTAAGCTCAAAGCTTCGTAGTGTAGCGGTCGGCGTGTTTGACCGATCCGAAGCCTAATAAGGCAGACTCACAAGCTGCAGGTGTGCTGGGGCGTTAAGTGCGGGTTTTGGATCTACAAGTTTTCTAAGTTATGTATATAGGTTTGAGGGACCCTTCGCCTCTGTGCACCGCGTTGGGGAAAGTTCGGCTGCAGAATTTGCAATTTGACCAAAAAAGCGACTACACACCACAAGCACGTATGGATACCCACAATGTCAAGCCACCAAACCTGGGTTCATGCTCGACGTATGAAAATTCCTATGTTTTCCAAACCGCTAGACTCGCCAGACCCCAACCTGCTGAGCAACCAAAACTTCTGTACTCCAGGAACTTCATCTGAAGAACATGGCACTAGAATCCCGAACTCCCCATCACGATCCCTGATGTCGGTCAGGGCTACAAAGATGAGGTTTGAGCCTTGAGCCTCGAGCCCCTGCCTAGCACATGAATCCTGCTGAGCCCGTCACCCAGCCAATCCCCACAGGGGCTGACACTCGGAACAACACTTAAGATCTTCAGTTCCATGGGAATTCGATCTACAAGTTCTGCAGAATTAAACGGGCGAAGGGGGGGGGGGGGTCCTCTACTTCAAAGCTCTGCCCTCTTTTCCAACCTCGGCCCTTGCCTGGCAGGCAAAGAACCTGCGAGAACTGGCGCCTCGCCGCCTCGAGGCCGGCCTCACAAGAAACCCTGCGGAAAAGTTGGCGCTTGGGCCCCTCACTGTTGGCCTTTTTAAGGGAGAGAAGGATACCTTTAATGCCCGAGACCGCCCAACCCCTCCAACCCTTCAAAATCCAAAGCCCAACTCAGAGCCCCTGAATTCCTGGTAGCAGGGGCTTAAATGGGGGCAAAGTTGCTTCAGGTTGAGGTGTAGGGTCGGTAGGGAGAAGGTTCATTTGAGAGGGGCAAACTCGAGGCGTGCCCATCGTGGAGTTTAAGCAAAGGATTGGGTTTCGCGCTGCAGCTGGGGGTGGGAAAGTTGCTGAGCCTAGCTAAGCTTATCAAGCTGAAGCCTAAAAGCAGCGGGCTTGGTTTTTCGAAACTCTATAGTGAATCGAGATACTGAATTGAGACTGTGAGACTTCATCCCCCAAAGAAATCTACATCCCAAAAGCTGCCGCCTTCATGGTGGGCACCAGGCGCTCGCCCACCAGGTCCTCGCAAAGCCGATCACACCTCGGCCGCTTTGGGGCCGAAGTTCTGGGCCCTGGGGTGGGTTCGGCCCAAAAAGTTCGAGTTAGGTGGGATGTTGAGCTCTTGAGGGCTGCGCGAGGCCTCTTGAATCATACATCTGTCATACAGGCCTGTAAAATTTTATGGCGGTACGTGCGCCGCTGTCTGTGGATGCTGGGGCTGGAAAAGCTGGAAAGTCCAGCATACTGCTAATCCATTGCCGTCCAGGGAGAAGAAGCACCACTGAATGAGAAAAGATGTCCAGGATCTTCGAGAAGTGGACTGTGCACTCCTCGTCTCGTATTTCTTCCCTTTCGCGCACATGGCCTTATGGATCAAGGATCACGGGCGTGTTTTGGGGCTTTCCTGCTCTCTGAGGCACACCAGCAGGCAAGTCGCCGCTCCATTTGCCGGAATGAGTGCAGATGTCGGAATCGCAAAACCTGCATGAGGCACCCAAATCAAGGGCATTTGATTTCTGTTCTCTCTGTTCAGCCTGATGGCACAAGGAGTGCTGTGAGCTTGTGTAGGGTGCATGCCAAGGACGGAGCAACAACTCACAGCATGAATCCTTGCTTTGCGATATAAAAGGCGGCATTGTCTTAAAGAGGGAACGCCCATGCACACGCAAACAATCTTTCACCAAGTCATAGGCCAAAAACTCAAGGTCCTCCAGACTGCCACACGAAGAACTTCGCAGTGTAGAATGTAGGGAATTTAGGCCAAAGCTGCAGGGTCTAGAGGGCCTAGAGCAGCCACGGTTACAGTTTAAAGCTGTTCGAGGCCTGTGTCCAGCTGCCCTGAAGACTGTACCATGGTGGCTTTGTGGTCCTGCTTTCGGAGCGCCAGGAGCTTTTGGACTTGTGACTGGGACACCAGACACTCGCACAGATTGGGCAGCTTCCGCAGACTTCCACACAAGTTTTACACGAGTGGGTTTGCATACCATTGCAGAACAACCTTTAAGCGTCGGCATTTGAGAAGGGCCCGTGCAACCTTTTTCAGGTTTTTGAATGCGCAGCTTCGTTGACAGTGTGGCTGCTCAACTTAGTGCTTGTGAACGCCTCCAAGCAAAACGCGAAACTGGAACAACGTTGTCACCCCCACAACCCTTTCGGTCAAAGATCCTCACGCTCACATCCTCATCATAACATCCCAGAGCCTGCAGCCCCTGACTACGGAGCGCAAAGGCGCAAAGTGTTGAAGTCAGCCTTCGGAGGAAGGACAGCGCGCACCTCCCTGGCAAACTCGGTGCACTGGACAGAAAAGCTCATTTCCGCAGCCCTGGCCGTGCGAGAATTTCGCGTTTGGATTTCTTCATGCTTCTCCCACGCTCTCTCTCGGCGTCCCGACATGCTCTCACTCTCTCTCCCTCTCTCTCTCTCTCCAGATGTTACGCGTTTGACTCTCGTTTGGAATGCTCAATTGCGCGTCTAGAACCACCTCTAAAACTCTGTCGTCAGGGGGTTTAGGTTGAGGGGCCGCCATGGGGAGCTTTGAACGGGTTGAGCCAACACCTGAACCCCCGAAGCAGTGGGTCCAGCAGCTCAGTCGCAGCCGCGGCCAGGAATGGCGAAGGCTCGACCACCGTGGCCTTTTCTGGATTTGGAAACGCTAGGGTGGGTTCCCATGTTCCCTGTCAGCTTCACCAAAAGGGGGGGATAGAGGCGTTGGGAGTCGTGGTGAATCTTTGAAGGACCCACAGGATACTATTGCTAAGGCCGTGGACGCATCAGAAGACTTGATGAAACATTTGCGCAGTGCACAGATGCGCGAGAGTAGGAAACTCATCCAGACACAGCTTGGACAACTCCTAAGGATCTGTCAGTATGAGGTTACCAGCTTGAGCCATCAGGCCTTACGTGGCAAACTCAGACCTTTTAATATTCAAAACGCCCAAGCTGCTTGTACATCTGCAAGACACTTCCGACTCAAACCCCAGTCCGAAACGCCAGGAAGTCAAGTCTTAGAGACAAGGAGCAGCCAGACCACGATGCTTGGAAAACCACAGCAGCGACAAATACAAACCAAACGCCGAATTCCCCGAACAGTTTCCCTAGGGAAAAACCTAGGAAATACATAATATGTAATATGTATATATACATGTTATTATTATTATTATTATTATTATTACTAGTATTATTATATTATATTATATTACATTACATTATATTATATTACATTATATTATATTATATTACATTATATTGTTATCATTATTATTATTATCATATTATATATTATATATCATATTATATACATATATATCTATATATAATATCATATATTATATAGCATATCTTACATTTTATATATTATGTATTATACATAATACTGATATATTATATATTACATTACATTACATTACATTACATTACATGACATTATATTATAGTATATTATATTGTATTATATTGTATTATAATATATTATATTATATATAATGCATAATATCTGGTAAACTCTATAGTATATATATATATATATATATGGTCGCCCCCCCCCCCCCCCCCAATGGACCAACCTCCAACCCCAATGGACCCACATCGGCATGTATAAGGTTCTCGAGACACTGCAGCCTGCCATGCTTTCCCTGTCTACTTCTTTATGCTTTTTGTTCTTCCTGTGCTTTTTTTGTGTTTTTTTTCGTGCATTTTTGTGTGTGGTGTACTCTTTTGTGTTTTTTCTGCTTTTTGTTGCACTTTTTGCACTTTTTTGCACTTTTTGCACTTTTTTGCACTTTTGTCTAATTTCACAACATTTTTACAAATATTTATCCTCTTGAATGTGCTTTTCCAATCCAAAAATCCAAAAATCCAAAGTTCTCCGGACAATCTCCCAGGAAACTTTGGATTTTTGGATTTTGGGATTTTTTGATTTTGGGGTTTTTGGATTTTGAAGATTTTTCACATTCGAGGCTCTCTTATTTTTTGACTTGTAAGAGGGCGGCCATTCAAATGCACCCTTATCAGAGTTTCAATTGCGTCCTAAGTACTCGAAACGTAAGCACTAAATTCACAGGATATTATTAAATGGCATATCCTAGATGGTTTTGATTATACAGGTTCTGAATTTGAGAACCATGTCAAGTCTGACTTTTTCAAATCACTGAGGTAAACACGTACGTGTGTTATGCACAGGGCTTTGCTAAGCAGGCTTTAGCAGAGAAAGCCCATTTTTGCCAATATCTACTTTTGTGCATCTAAAAGAAGCTGAATTATCATTTTCCAAGAACAACCATTCTGGGATCCTAGTACCTGCTGTTTAAGAAAGGTTATATGTCATGAACACCCTGACTTTGCGATAACGAGTGTTTTAGTTTTCTGATCCTTTAATTCAGGCTCTTAATATTGAGTTGCCCCACCTGTGATTATTGCAGTAAAGCCTGCTCGAATCTGATTAACGTCTTAACTAAGTACTCGATTGAAGACTGTATCGAAAAAATTCTAAGTAGCCTGCTCACAAAGCCAATGAGATTTCGAAATATCCTACTCAAACAGCCAACAAGAGGCTGAACAGAAGCGTTCAAGACAGTAATAGGGCTTAGGCCCAATATACGGCGAGTGCACTGTCCACTCGAGGGTCAGGGACTTCCTGTATGGAAGTGAAGTGTGCATTCATTTCCAGGGCGCGCATTTCATGCTATGAGGTTCGGTTGAACTCTTATTTTATAATCTTGCATATGGAGCCCCTGTAAGTATCTCGTGTATATAAGAGGGCGGCCCTTCAAAGGTACCCTTATCAGAGTTTCATTGGCGTCCTACTCGAAACGTGAACACTAAATTCACAGGATATTAAATGGCGTATTCTAGAAGGTTTTGATTATACTGTTTCCGTATATGAAAACCATGTAAAGTCTTAGTTTTTCAAATCACTGAGAAAAACACGTACATGTGTTATGCACAGGCCTTTGCTAAGGAGGCTTTAACAAAGAAAGCCTATATTTGCCAATATCTAATTTTGTGCATCTGAAAGAAGCTGAATTATCATTTCTTCAATAAGAACCATTCTGGGATCTAGTACCTACTGTTTAGAAAAGGTTATCTCTTATGAAAGCCCTTACTTTGCGATACGAGTGCTTTAGTTTTTTGAACAGGATTCCAAGTAGTTCACTAGCCAGAGACTGGACCTAAGCCCTACTACTTTCTTGAACGCTTCTAATCGCTTTTTGAGCAGGATATTTCAACATCTTACGGGCCCTTTGAGCAGGCTACTTGGGATTTTCATTCACGTTTTGAGTCGTTTGGATGTTTTTGAAATTCTGACAAGGGTACATGTGAATGGCCGCCCTCTTATAAGTCAAAAAAAAGGAGAACCTCGAATGTGAAAAATCTTCAAAATCCAAAAACCCCAAAATCCAAAAATCCAAAAATCCAAAGTTTCCTGGGAGATTGTCCGGAGAACTTTGGATCTTTGGATTTTTAGATCTTTGGATTTTTGGATTGGAAAAGCACATTCAAAAGGACAAGTATTTGCAAAAATGTTGTGAAATTAGACAAAAGTGTAAAAAAAGTGCAAAAAGTGCAAAAAGGTGCAAAAGTGCAAAAAGTAAAAAAAGCACGAAAAAGCACAAAAAGCATAAACAAGCATAAGAAAGCACAAAATCAAAAAAATCCCAAAATCCAAAAATCCAAAGTTCTCCGGACAATCTCCCAGGAAACTTTGGATTTTTGGATTTTTGGACTTCTTTTCCATTTCGCGGTTGGTCCATTGGGGGGGGGGGTGAGCATATATATATATATATATATATATTTCTACTATATACAACTTCCGGGGCGCTGTTTGTGCTTGCACGTCCCAGAGGCACCTGGGCGTCGGAGACGGCCTTGCAAGCCGCCAGCGAGCCGACCCCAAGGACAACTACCTCTGAGCATCACTTTTGGTTCTGGGTCTTCAGATGTGTTTAGATGATTTTTGTGTGTGTGTTTAGGGCAGTTTAGACAAGGTCTGCAAAGGTCTACAACTGGGATGCTCAGGGCCGAGTACGGAAGGCTTTGCTGAGAGCCCTTATGTTCGCAGAGTTGCTTTGAGGACTGCAAGTGTCACGTTCAAAAGTGGTATGATGTGGTCATGTTGGCGTTGCAGAGCGACATGCTCGTGCAGTTCGGGGTGCAAGGAGGGTACTATCTACGGACAAACGTTTCACGGGAGGATCTTGCCTCAGCTGACAAGTAGCATGCAAGTCAGGTCCCTTGGCACGCATCACCGCTTCAATGCCGCGCTGATAGAAGTCCACCACGGGGCGCTGCCGCCTGCAGCATGGTAATCATGGTATGAACAGATTTGTTGATAAGGCGCTTCAGTGCCCTTCAGTGCCCTTCAGTGACGCTCCCACGGCAAACCTGCAGCGCATCCGACTCGAGCTTAGCATCACATACACCTTTTCTGGATGGAGAGTAGGACGCCCTGGAGGCCTATTTGCTAGATGTTTTCTGGTTGTCAACTCGTTTTTGTCATGTTTCATGGCAAAGTACTGTCATGATAATGCCTTTTTCAATTTGAAATTTATTCTTGTTTTTTGCCTTCTGAAACCCCAAAATCAATTAACTTAAACCCAGCCAAAACGACAAGCTGAGTTCTGGGCCGCCACGCGTGGCGCAGGGCCGAGGTGGCCAGGACGCCAAGGGACTGCGAAGAGGAGGAGGTGCCCGTGCCTAAATCTCGCCATATCCTGGGTCGTGGCTTCGTTTCTGAGTTCGGGCGAGGCAAAAGGGGGGGCCTAGAATTTTACACCATATCACTACTATGCTCGAAGGCTCGCAATACGTTGAGGGCTTGACATGGTCTGACCATTGACGATAGAGTTAGGCTACTGAGGGCTGTTCATGATCCTTGTCCGTGAAAGAAGCGGCTTCAGAGCAGAATGCTTGAACCCCTTGACCAACAGTTGCTGGAGCTTAACCCCCTGCGCTGCCGGAAGGTGGCTCTTGCAGGCTTGGAAGCTGGTACCCCTGTTGGGAATGTGCCAAACGCCAGCGAAGGCCACGAGTTATCTCCCTGCTGGGGGCGCTGTCCTGGGGTGGTGTGCCGAAGCGTGAGGAGCTTGTGGACTACGACGTGTTTTTTTTTTCCATGTTTTTCCCGAATGCAGGCATCCGAGCGTTTTGTCTGCACAAAGCGTTCGCAAGCGTTGATTTTTGTTCATGTTTCACAACGCCGATATGTAAAAAGTACAGGACACTCACGAGGATGTGGCACTTGGAGTGCATCATCCTCTGTTGCACTTTTGATCATGGTACTTTGAAAAGTGCAGACAGTCACGAGGATCAAGCACGCCAGGTGCGCCAGAGGGTTGGAAATGTTGTCGGCAGCCGCTTTCGTTACCTTCGTTCGCCGAGTGCGGAAGAGTGTTGCTGGAGTCCAGCCTAGGGGCCCATGCAAACGCTGCATGGCAAGATGCGCTGCTTGGCAAGCTTCTCGTGAAGACTTTCCCTTGAGCCCGCTACATGGCAACTGCAAGCTGCAGGACGCATTGCAACACGGCTTGTTCTGCAACTCCAGCATTGCAAGGTTGGCTGGAATGAAAAGTCGCCACAATGCGGATGGTCTAGGCGAGGTCTGTGACGTGTCGGCTGAGCGTTCCTGTTTCAGTTGACTGAAGTAGGGATATGCCCGATTGAAGATTTGCTGAGGGAATGGGGATGGGTTGTGGTTCAGCGACGACAGCAATCGCCGTTTTCTTTGCGGATTTTGGGGGCAAACATTTGCGGAGCTGGCGCGCGAGCTTCGGGTCAACGAGGCGGGTCACGGTGTCGAACCGGTGTTTTCTCGTTGCGATGGTTCGACTGAGTGATCTTCAACATATCCGCTTCATGTTATGGTAGTACGTGCCGTGAACTTCACGGTGACAGTCCACAGAACTCCAATCCCAAATATCGGTGGCTGGAGAATACGTTTGCGATGAGCAGACGGCGGCCGCCCTTCTGCAAAAGATCGATGGAGAGGACGCAGGACGTCTGGCGTTGCTGATGATGGTGGTGCTTCCTTGTCGGTGCCGTGGTCTGGCAACCAGCCGGCAGGATGTCAGCTGACGGTCCCCTGCCTGGCTTCCGTGAAGAATTGCAGGCTGGCGATGCGTACGTCCACACGCTCTGAGGGGAAGGGCTTTGCCAGGGAGTCCTTGAGCGCGGAAATCCGATTTTCGTGCCAGTGTCTGACTGAAATCGGTCACGAGCCCGTGTTTAGGCTTTGCCAAAAGTCGCGCTTGAAGATCGATTCAGCGACTGGTTTCTGCACGCCAGGAAGGGTGCAACTGTAGTGTCTCCGAGGAGAGATTGCTGTTGGCATCCACAGTTTTGGCCGACTTCAGTGGAAGCCCGCGTGCGACTTGTGCGAGTTCGGATATCTGAGCAGCTTGTGTGGGTCAAACTCACGACGGCAGGTTAATGTCTGTCTCGAACTGCTCACAGAACGAAACTAGAAAGAGATAGAAAGAGAGAGAGAGAGAGAGAGAGAGAGAGAGAGCGAGCGAGCGAGTGAGAGAGAGAGAGAGAGAAAGAAAGACACAGACCGAAAAACAGAGACGAAGACAGGGTAAATACAAACAACAAAGAATGAGTAAGAATAATTGTACAAAAGAAGTCATAAAGAAGAGATGTAAGCAGATGCAAGCATCTTTTCGGATTACTATGGTGTATCGTCTCCGTTGTGTTCGCCGTGCGCGTATCACGTGACGGCATTCGGGTCGGTGGCCCCTTTCAGGTTTTGTAGTAAGGGTTACATATGTGACAACTTTCAGATTTGAGGGATCGAGAATTGGAACCAAGGAATGGAGAAAGCCCCCAACAAACAGGAAACACAGACGGTCATGGAGACAGGATGGAAATTCATGGGGTCCTGCAACAGTCCTGAAAAGAGCACACCAAGCCTGAGAACATCCCTTGGGAAGCCCCTCTTGCCGCGCAAAAAGGCAATTATGCTTGTCATGCTTTTGGCAAGCCGCTTCGAAGCCAAGCCGAAGCCACATGATTTATTATTGTTTGCTGCTGCGCACGCCCTTTTCGATGATAATTCGCACCTGCACTACCAAAATCGCACGATTTTCATGAAATGAAATTATACAGCCTCCGGCCTTAAACTTACACATCCTCCATTCAACCCTGAGGCCCCAATGATTCCAGAGCTACCGCCGAATTGCCCGAACACCGTCACTTAATGCCTCCACAAAACCTTGAAGATCGGAGTCCTCGCTGGACTTGGGTCTCGCCTTTGTGGCTGCAGCGAGGGCTTGCTTTGCCGCGCGGTCATCTGGCCTGGAGCTTGACTACTGGGGCTCCAAGCTTCGAGTCAAAATTCAAATTTGCAGCTGGAGAAAAGGACATGCGCATGGCAACCTCACCCCAGTCAGCCCCAGTCAGTTTGCATACGAGCTAGCAGCTATCACGCCGTCAGGGTGGGTGGGGGGGGGGGCGGGGGGCTTGTGTGGGGTGGAGGGAGGGGGGGTGGGTGGCGAATGCTTGGCTGTGTCGCATGAGGCAAGAAGAAACTGGACATAATTACCTCGACTTCTTAACTATTCAGCACGCCACCTGCAATCCTATAACCGCTCCAAGAAAGCCGTATCACTTGAAGGCGAACGGCTCTTTGTCCAAAGCTGCGCGGAAGTTGGCAGCTGCAGCGCCGAGGTCGCCGAGGCCCTGCCAGGCGAGACCAAGTCGGAAATGTACCTCATGCGAGGGCCAAAAGAGGACCAAAAAGAGGGCCAAAGCTCGCTTTGATTTGGGGGTAAGATGTCTCGGGGTTCGGGTCTAGATGCCCGGTCGGAGAGTACAGGAGCAGTACAAACGTTCATGTTTGCAGCAATAATGGCTTGCGACGGATAATTATGAGCCCTGCAGGCCCACGAGGCCATCACGGCCTGTTCATACCCCACCTTGGCACTGCCCGGTGCAAGCCGCAGCGACTGTTCACAGTCCGCCCTCGCTTCCTCCCAGCGCTGCAGCTTGACCTGCTAGGATTCGGAATCTCGAAAGGGTTTGGAGGGGGGCCTCTAGGACGGGTTCAAGCCTACAAGGCATGATGGCTAACGGGTCTTCGCGACGGCCCGAAACCTGAAGAAGAGCCCACGCAAGGCTGCACGGCTGTGGCTTTTGCAACCTGCTTGCGTGAACCTCCTGCCGAGAAAATGGTTCTAGTGATTCTGCCTATGCGAACTTAACAAAGCACTGCTCGTTCGTGGCCTGGGGGGGGTATGGATGCGGTAGGACTGGGTTGCCGTTGGGGCGGAAGGATCCTCAGGCGATCTCAGGCGATCCGCTTGTGGGCATTGTGACTTTGCGCGCTGCTTGTCGACCGACCCTGACAGGAAAGTAAAAGCATTACGAAGCTCTGAAGCTTTGAAACTGTTACGAGACATCGTCATCGTCATCATCATCCATGCAAAGGTCTCTTTTGGGATTTGACGGTGATTTCTAGTAAAGCCAAAACAGCCAACACCATCCCGTGCTTCTGGTGCTCTCAATCCCTTCCTTAGCTAGTCTCCTAAATTGGCACAGCCTACGTACGCAATCTGAAGGTCTCTGGCCATCATCATCATTATCGCGCCTAGAACACCCGCAGTAACACCTTGCCTGTGCTAAGGAACGGTTCGCAAAGAGGGCAGCAGCAAGCTCGGAGTCCGACTCACCAGGAGGAAGCCTTGGGCAGTGGCGGACTTTCGAGCATTGGGCTTTGAAGTTTGCCTTTTGGTATTTGGTCGTGTCCAGAAAGAAACTTCACTTCATCTGACCTGGAAGGTCATGCAAGAGCTTCAGGTTTTCGGGCCGGTGTGGCTTAAAGTTGTGTGCGGGGTCCTTGTGGCTGATGAAGACGCGGTAGGAGGACTTCTCAGACTCGAAAGAATGGTTGCTCGAGACTTCTGTCGGCTCCCGATTGATAGGGAAGGATACGTGGAACTGTAGAAGAAAGGGCCGCTTTGCCGGGTGTTCGTTGTGGTTTGTCAGCTTGGCCAGTTCGCGCGAGGCAAAAACACAGCAACTCGTAACGACAAGAAAGCATGCTCCGAACACAGAAAAGCAGATGGATTTCGACTGCAAAGTCCCATAAAGTCCCAAGCCAAGCAAAGACAGCAAGCTCCTAGTCTTCTCAACCTGGCCTTACCGCCCCATGAAGCGGCCTCTCTAAACAGAGTCAAGGCACCATTTCAATGCTGACGAGTAAAGATCCCGCGCGTCGGCATACCGGCCTTCTTTCAGGCTGGCGTTCCTGAAGCTTGCAGTTCACCCGAGATTCTCCCGAAGCCAAATCTTCCACCCGAAAAGCTACCCTGAACAAGTTCGTTGCCCGAAGATCCTGAAAAGGTCCTGAAGATCTGGTGACATCAGAAGACAGGCAATTGCACAACGACGTGGGCCCGGAGTGATGAATGCATCCAAAGTCTGAGGGCCCTTTCCTCCTGAGAAAGATGCACCGTGCCTGTAGGGGTTTCCGTCAGTTCCAGGTCAAAGCTTCCGAGATCTTCCGAGTTGGACTTTGGGGGGGGGGGGGGGGGGGAGGGCAAGCGCGAAGCCGATGTCGAGCTGAGAGCCCTTACACCACTGGCCACTACTAATCCCACAAGATCCCTACCCCAAATCAGAGTTCTAATTCATGTCAGGGCCACTACGCATTTTCAAACGGAACCAACATGTTGAAACTCTCAAAGTTCTGGAGACATCCAAGCGTCCCAAGGTCCTTGAGGCGTCTCGCCTCTTCTTCTCTTTCCTCTGGGCTCAAAGTGGCAGGGCTCAAAGTGGCAGTCCGCGTTGCCAAAAAGAACCTCTATAAACTCCGTTTATCAGGGTTATTAAGCAACCACTTGACCACTGGCCCTCAGAGGCGAATCGCCTCCATGGACCCCGCAGAGACCACACAACCCGAAAGCTCGCCTCCTTCGGCCAGGTCGTTGGCTCTGGCACCGTGAGTGATGGCCGCTTGCCCGTCTCCTCCTGTTGAAGATTTCGCTGTCCACAAAAAGGCATGAGGGGAAGGTACGTGTACCCCTGTTCTTGGAAGGAAATCAAAACACTAGCTTGGCGAGTTTCGTCCACCGAACCAGACCAGTCATCACATCACCAGTCGTCGAAAATTAACAGAAAACGCTTGAAAGGAATGCCCAAGCCCTCTTGTGGGGAGCGGAACTGCGCACTGTGTAGGGATGAGGGGGCTTGGGACTTCAAGTCTTGAGAACCTTCGCGGAATACTTCCCACAATCATGCCAGCATCCGGTTTAGTTCGAAGGGTTCTCGGACTCATCGAATGCCGCGTCTCCTGTTGGCTTACGAAGTCCTCCGAAGTCACCACGACCTGAAGCAAACGGCATGTCAGCACTGTTGCTTCAGACCTGAGGGATTGGGAGGCCCTGAGCCATTATGAAGGGCTTGCGAAAAAATGCCCTGAAAAGCCCAGCGCACACAGTGAACCACAAACCTTGTGCTTTCGAGTTCTGGCATGCCGGGAATGCTTGCGAACAAGCAATCAAGTGATGCGCGTTTGTAGGACATTGTAGGACTCGAAAAGAACAAGAAAATGAGGAAGCTCTGCGCATTGGGTCGCCTGGAAACCCGGTTGGCTGCAAGCAGCCCCGTTGCGTCATCCTAGCACTTCGCACCGGAAAACAGCCCTATTTAAATGTTCGTCGGCCAAATATGACACACCCCACCTCCTCCCCCCCTTCCTCCCCCCCCCCCCGCTCTTCGAACATGGTTTCAGGCTGCCTCGTGAAACCACCTCGAAGGCTTTTTCATTCGTGAGACTCTGAGAGTGTTTTTATGTCGAATTCCATAAAGCGTGACAATTGCAGACCCCTTAAGCTGGAAATACAGAGTCTTATACAGAATCTTACCAGCTTCCCCTCTGCAGTGCCTTCTCGTGTGAGCGCCGCGGTGGGGGCGGGGGCTCTGCCAGTATCAGGCGGGAGCCATCTCTCCTTCGCTTCGCACGCAGACTGGCAGGCCAAGCACAGCGGCAGAAACCGCACAATGAGTTGGCCGCATTGTCAAACTTTCTCTCATGTTACATCCCACAATCCGAATACCCAAAGGATCAAACACCGAATGCCCTGACTGGCCTAAGATATATTTATACTGAACGCCTAATGTTGTCCAACCAGGGTTCAGGCCCTGGGCGTGCAGCGGCTCGTCCAGAAGAAGTTCTTGCCCATCTGGGCGCCTGGCGTCGCTTCTTGGTTTCTTGGGGGTCGTTAGGGTGGTTTTCCTTAGCTTTACTTCGAGACTGATTATATTGTGCGCGGCTGCAGCTACAAATTGCAAACGGCTTCATGTCAAGTTGTCCTCAAAAATCTGCGTGCAAAAGTGCCTTGAGCTTGAGCTGGGATTGAATGTGGACCAAGGTTGGCAAAGTGCGGAAGTGCCGGGTTGGGGCAGCTGTCGGAAGTTCGGTGATGGCGGCTCAGGAGGGTGATGGTGTACCATTTGTGATTATCATTAAACCCATAATCCCTACAGCGGGAAGGGAAGCCCTTCCAAATGCATCTCCTCAGATCTCCTCAACTAGCATACAAACTGTACAAACTGTGGGCCAGGCTGAGTCGATTTTTCCACCTAACCCCCAAATCCCAAATGAACATTCCAAAATCAACCCACAGAAAGCGACAATGGTGCTGCCCACACTCCCCCTTCTCCCCTCCAAAGAACCCGCAACAAGACCCGTCACACCAGTGCAAAGCCCGGCAGTACACCCCCACCTCCCCCAACGAACAACCGAACAGCCCTAAAAGCCTAAAAGCCCTGAATACCCTAAACGGTGACTTCAAGAATTTGAGGTGCCTTAAAGGAGTGCTGGCCGCATCGGGCAGCTTGAAGCGGTGCAGGGCTGCCAGGGTCTTCAGTGAGGACCACACCTGCAGCATCTGCAGCATCTGCAACATCTGAGTTGAGGGGAAATTCGGAAATTCAGGATTTGTAGAGGTTGAAGAGCCCAAGGACCCCTGATCCAGGATTAATGGTTTCCAAGCAGGGCTGGAGCAGCAGGACGGTTCCTGAACAACCTGAAACCGCCCCGGAGATGGAGCTGGTGAACCGGTGAGATGTTCAACAAAGGACTGAGATTCTTCAGGTCGTGGAGACTGGCTGTTTTTACGAAAAAAGCCAACTGCGGGCTTAGCGTTTCATGCCCGGGCACTTTGCTGCCGAGATCGTCCTCCTGAACGCTCAGCACCTCGTGCAAACAGTGTGCAAAAAAACTCAACATCCGAAATGCAAATTGCTGCAGATTCGTACATCAACATATCTGAGGCATGCCAAAGTTCGTGAAACCTGCGACTCTCCACCTACTTACACCGTCCACCAAGTAGAGAGCAGGGCCACGTGTAGCGGCTTGCTACCTGTTCCAACTAATTTGAACTGAGGCTTTACACGTTCTAAGGCAAACGGCCCTGCGTTTTGTCTTATAGTTTTTGGGCAGTTTTATCGGCCGCAGTAAAATGTCTACTCTTAATCAAACTTGATACGTTTTGCGCAAAAGAATTTGACATGAGTAAATTAATGTACAAATCATTGAACAACATTTCAGTCAGGCTTAACTAATTTCAGGTCATGTCGATGAAAATTCATCAGGAATGTAGACTAAGTAGTTTTCACGGCATTGCTTAGTTTAATGCCTTTTTGGGTAACTTTACACTTTTCTACTTTTTGACTAGAGTTCATCAACATTGACAAGCTTAATGATTTTTCTATATTGCAAAACAATTCAGCCAGGTGTGATTAGTTTCAACGAGCTTTAATCGGTGTATGCTGTTGATTTGTTAAAATCTTCTTTAATGGCTATGTTCAGCTAAACAAAACTCGTTGTCATTAATTTGCAAGTAGGTTTTGAGTAATTCGCCAGCCTCGTCTCCCCAAGAAACGCAAATCCTTAGAGCCGAACCACTTTTTAGTTGGGCTCAAGGATAGCGTTTGAAAGTTTAAGCTGAAAGTTTAAGGCTCAGCTCAGGGCTTCAAGCTGTACGGCTTTGGTGCGCCTCCTCACGTCCGCCCGGCAACCGCAGTGTCAAGGTAATGCCGGTGGCGCCGGGGCCAGTCATCAAATGGGGAGGAACTTGGACTCCAGGGTTCGTCGGGCCACTACAGTACCATGGATCGCACAGGTCGCCTTAAGGCACATCCCAGATACGAGCGCAGCACCGACATGCCGAATGCTGAGCAGAGGAATGATCAGCACACTCGACGACATGCCTAGGTTACTCGCTACCTGAAAGCAGATTACAAAATGGCTTCCAGGCTGAAACATCTCGTGTCTGGCAGTCAAGGTTAGATTGTGTTTCCTGGATCACAATGAACACCCTCGTCATGTTTGAAACTCAGGTATGCACGGCAGGAAAAGGAGAACTCCTGTTGACAAGTTGACGTCGAATAGGCCGCCCATCCTATGTTCGATCAAAGAAACGCTGCTGCAGACCCGAGCACACCACACCATTATAGGATTCGGAGGCCCGGCGCATGTACTGCTGCTGAGCTTCGTGGGTTTTTGACGGAACTTGCAAACACTGGCCCCGCAACTCCGCCTCCGAAAGTCCTGGTAACTATGAACGGCTGTCGGTCTGAGAAGTGCATGAGTCATGCTGCATGAGGCTCGCGGGCTTTTGCATTTGGCAGCCAACGCTGCATCTCTTCTTGTAGATGTACGCGCGTGAGCAGGAACTGATGTCAGGGAAGCTTCACAACATACGGCCTTTCTCAATTCCGAACAACACCACGGGGAGTGTAGGGCCTATCAGTGGCTTTGAGGCGGTTTCAGGGGTTACGCCTACTGTGAGCCCCCCATAGGCTCTGAGGATGTGGCAACGTAGGGTTTTGCTAGCTGGTTTCGGTTCACTGTTCGGTTCACTGCGTTTCACTCTTCCTTCTTTCAGGGGTCTGGGGATGCCGAGCCCGGGCTGCAGTTCCTGCGGCGGAGAGCATTTTTTCAATCCCACAATAGCCCGACACCCTAACAATCTCTGCTCATCTCTGCACTGCGCATCATTCCTTAACCCACGCTGCTCTGATCTGGGGGCCCTAGACACCCGCGCACAGCTGCCTGCACGAAACTCCGGCTATCTTCAGTCTATGACGAGTGTGAGAACCGCATCACTTGTGCCTCTCCCCCCTAAACCTTGAACTCTTCACCTGCCTTTACCTATATAAAACCTAAGCCAGTTGAAACTTACTTAAAGCCAAAAGTTCAATACTCAACAGCCGTCTTGCGCTACGGTCCTCTTGGAGGACACTCCAAGGCCGGCCAGGGCCGGCCGCTATGTGAGACAGGAAGAGCAAAGCAGCAACTCAATCACTCCACAAGACTCTACAAGGCTCATAGAAGATCTTAAAGCCACCCCTTAGTCTGGCTGATGCCTTCCAAGGTAGCGACCAGCAGCAACCTGCGAGTTTCAGGTATCCAAACCTGAACACATCGTAACACCACGATCATTGAAGCCTGTCGACTGTCAGCTCACACAAAACCCGCTGAAGACCCGGTGGAATTTCACAAGGAGCTGCCGGTTTGGACTTGAACTAGCTTTTGCTTGTGTTTCAAGAGAAGGGGTGTTTGACAGTCGCTTGCTGCAGCTGCTCCTGGCATGTGAGACGCGATGCAACCCACCCCAAAAAAACAAGAAAACGATGAATTCCCAAAGCCCATCAGCCGGTACCTGCACAGGGATGCCTCCAAAACGAAACGTTGAGCCAAGCCCTAAACCTTAACCGTTAACCTCTGGCCGGTCATCGGAAGACTCGGGGCCTCAGCGATGCAACTTCCCAATCCTAGCCCTTAAAGCCCTCAAGTTGTCCGAGGCTTTTTGGGTTTCAGGGTTGCTTCCCTCTCTCCCTCCTCTTGGTACTAATAATTCACCACATGCATCCATTATCTAGGGCGGTTTCTATCTCTGGCTCTTGTTAATGCTTGATCTGGAGCTGGGTTTTAATGTCTTGAGCTACGAACGAAACCGGCTTCGAGACCAGTCCAACCGCAAGCACCCATCCCCTGGAATCCATCCCACCTGTCCGTCTTGCCCATGAATCCGCCCTTGAGACCCTATAAAGGCTCAGGCTTTAAGTGAGTTGTAAGATTCAAGATCGAGAGATTGGGGTCGCGTGTGCCCATCCATGCTTTCCCGTGCCCAGCACAGGACTCAGGGTTCAGAGCTCGGGCTTTCAACAGTGCAGGTCCTACGCAAGGCCTACAATCAAGAGTTGGGCGTGGAATGTATCCATGTTCTTATTCATCTTGGCAAGGGGGCTCTGCGACTCCGCAAAGGAGCAGAATGTGAAGCCCTGAGGGCTTAAACACTGCCCCAACCAAGGCCCAGGCCGAAAGTCCCTCATCGAGCTTTTTAACGACACCTCGCTTCTTGACATGAGACAGATTTCCCAAGACAACCGATGCACCTTTGCTGCAGGGAGAAGACTTTCGTTGGAGGTCGAGTCTATAAGCATGTCCTGCGCAATGCTTGCAATCTTTTGTAGTCGTGGAAGTTTGTCATTTGTCCCAAGAGTGGCAATTTCCCACCGACCAGAAAATCATTCTCTGGGAGCCTAGAAGCTGGGTACTGAGTATAGAAGGAGTGAGTCTCTTTAAATCCTAACCCCGGTAAAGGTCCTCTCCAAGTCGCCCTGTGAGCTCAACTCTGAGCTCCGCGCCAGGCCCTTGGACTTGAGAGCCGGCAGACCTCTCGGCGCGCAGCGCGATGATGGCTAAGTGGTAACCTTAAGTGGTAACCTGACATACCCTGACCCGGAAGCCTCATCGGGCAAACCCTCGGAAGCCTCAGCCCTAGAGCCCAGCAACTTGAATGCTCAAAAGCGCTCAATAGCCCGATGCTCGATCGACCTGAAGAGCTGGTCTGTGTGGTTCTTAAGGCGAAGGTGCAAAAAATCAGAAGAACTACACAGAAGTACCCAAGCTCTACTATCGCGAGTAACTCGTCCTCGCTCTCTAGACAACCCCGGGACGTCTAAGTAGAGGTCCACAGTAAACCACCGATCCTGCCCGCTCGTGTCTGTAAAATCCATGAAGTTCCCCTTCCTGCTGCAGGGCCTTTGGGCGCAAGGCCATCGATTTTGGGACCTGGGAGCATCGAGATTCTGGGGTTGGGGAATGTGACATTCAGTCGGATAGTTGCTCCGCAGCGGCCCAACCAATGGCGCTACACTGACTGCGCCTGCCCATGTGCCTGAAAAATTCAAAAACCTAACCAACTCAGCCCAACGCCGAATGAACCAACAAAGAGGTCCGGATTGCCCGTCTTGGGCGCCGCGCTCGCCGGCTCACGAATGACCTGAAACTCGGGCTCCGCGCTGAGCCTCGAAAGGTTTTTCGGTGTGAATACGGTGTTGGGGTGTTTCGGTTTTTTTTACCTCTGGGATCCTCCGGGACTTTGATTCGAATGCACAAATCTCTGAGAAAACAAGTTTGGCACCACTAGCTACCAGCATAGAACTATGGCAGAGAATTGCGGTACCCCTTGTATCGAGACTTGCAAAGAGTGTCTTCTGAGATACAGGGATTCGGATAGACCACTCAGGTGCTTCTAAAACAGTCCAAAAGAGTAGTGCGAAGACGACAGGGACGACAGGTGCTCACGGGCCCTGCCTCGTGAGGTGGTATGGATCGACTCGATCCTCCCAGATCATGTTCTGAAACCTCAGTTTGCAGTTACTTTGTAGGCTGCATTTCTCGGTTCAGGACTAAGCCTTGGGGGTTCCGGGATGTGCAAAGTTGGGCTGAGCCTTCCTTCCAAGTTCTTCGGAGAGACGCCGTGAGGATGAGCGTGTCATGCCTGCTGTCACCACGCTATTGTAGAGTTAGCCTGCTGGTCACCAAAGCCCTCTCTTCCACTCTCTCAAACAAACAAAAACCGCAATCGCAACTTAAAGCAAGAACCCAAAGCCCGCAAAGCTGAAAATCAAGCCGCAAACCCTGAAACGCTAATGCTCAAACCTATAAACTTTGCCTAAGCCGTGGTTGACATTGAAAAATCGCCCCCTCCCCGGCCTGTTGTTTCGTCCCGTCAGCCCAGATCACATGCGTGAAAGCGCCAAGTTGATCTCAAGCCACTGCCCGCCAAACCCTAAATGATTGCTTACGCTCGGCAAAAGAGAAGCCTTACATCCCAACCACCCTGGAGCTCAGTTCTGCAGCTCTTGCCGGGACGTGGGCTTGTCATCCTGCTGCAGTCGTCCGCCAAGGCCCTGTGCGGCATTTCGGAGTTGAGAGTGACAGGTCTAGGCTAGGGCACATGCCCTTGACACAAGCCCCTTCAAGATTACTTTTTTGTTTATTTTCAGAGCGAGGCTTTGGAATCCAAGAGACGTGGCATCATGTGGCATCACGTGGCGCAGACTTGGCAATTTGAGTCCCAGAGGCAGGACAAAATCAGGGGGCAAAGCACGCCACACTCAGAAGCCGCGGGGCCCCTTGTCCAAGCCCCCAGAATCCAAAAAATGTCTTGCTTGCTGAAGGTCTCTCTTTGGGAACGCTGGTGAAATTACTCGATGTCTCAACAGCATGGGGAACGGCAACCATTGACTTTCCCATAAGATGCCGCGGTCAATTTGCAACGAAGCAGCGAAACCGCTCGGACGTTGCCACAACAAACAACAACCAAACAACAACCAAACAACAACGACAGAACCAACAAAACGAACACAGCAGAACGCAGTAACAGCCCGGTAACATGCTGCAACCATTCAGCTGCAGAGCCGACAGCATCCGAACATATCCGAACATATCCGAACATGCAGCCCACCTAACCCCACATGAAGAGCCCTCCTATAGCCGGTCCCTAACCCTCATCCTAAGCCGCGATACCTTCGGTTTGAGCAGGACAGAAGTGGCGTTGTCAAGTGTAACTCTCAGTTACAGCACTTTCATTCGCAAACCAACATGCAAAGGTGTAGAGGAGGTGCTCGCTCCGGTGAGTACGACCCGCAGCACTTGTGCGTGGATAGGCGCACGTGCATCCCATACAATGAGCAATGATGCATGTAGGAGTGTCCGTACAGAACTTCTTCAAATCTCAGGAACAACTGCGAAATCGAAACCTTT